CTGACCAGCTACCAGTACCTATAAATGTCCTTAAAAACTCTGAGGAGAGCACTTTTTGTGCCTTCTTCACTGTGGGAAAAGACAAAATTCATCTTTTTGATGCTGTGGGCATCCAATAGCAAGAAAAGTTACAGCCACCTTGTACTGAGAAAAGCTTCCATTAGAACAGAGCACAGTATTTCAGTGTTTATGGGTAAATGCAAACAGCTTTTTTAGGACTTTTTATTTTATTATAACACAATTAATGAAAAGAGAGATGATTCAGACCCCAACACATGCGGCAAACACGTAATTTTATGGGTACCAGATCCTAAGATTACGGCGTGCACTTTAAACCGTGATTTCCGGCACTGGGAAAAGGTTTCTCTTTACAAAAAAAATGCGTTACCTACAACACAGTAGTAAGTTTACGCTGAAGGGAACTTGGGCAAATTGTGCATGCGGAGAAGAAAGCCTGGGTTAATTCCTCCTGCAGGATTACCACAGGCTGCTCGCTGTAATACGTTTCCCGATTCCTGCATGTAGCCATCAAATCGTTCATTTAGGAATCGTTTTTATTCTAAGACTCATAAAAATCTTAAGATATAAGAAGCCTGAAGAAAGGTCTTAAGTGCTTTCTATGGAAAGGAAAATAAAAAGGTGTTTATACAGCCCTCGAGCTGAGGCATTTTCTCATTAACAAAAAAAAAAAGAGGAACAAAACATTAGCTCCAGAAACAGACTGTCCACCATATTTATTATCAATTTAACTGCCTTGAATGGAAACTGCGAGCGCTTTGATAAAAATCAATTGAAAAGCTGTCTGCCTCACTATTGCTTCAATAAAGTGCCTTTGTATCTTGTGCTGAAACCTCGGTTTTGTAGCCTCCTTAAACAACGGCGCGTATTTAATCACCATACCGAAAGCAGGCTCCAAGGCAGGTGCCCAGACTGGCACCCCTCATTCCAAGCTCCCTTCAGCAGCAGGGACCAGGGATGTAAACCAGCACCGCCTGACCAACACTCCCACCCCCAGTCACGCAGGACATTTCTACTGTATTGTTAAAAATTAACTTGTGGGTCTCCATGCATTTAACCCGCCTGCCGGACCTCTCTCCCTGGAGATCTTCGGCTCCGCGTCAGGCGGACCTCAGGCTGCGTCAAGAACTGCTGACTTCAGCAAAACACGCCGCCCTGACCAGAGCCCTCGCCAAAACTCACCTCGACGCTCCCGTCCATCACCCCGCCAGGAGCCCATTTCACACATCACTGCCCCAACAAACCCTTCGCACCTGAGGGAGCCGGGGAGGGGGCTGGGGGTGGATTTAAACCCATAAACAGTCTCTTGAAGCAATTTCAAAGTCTCCAGAGTAAAAAAACCAAAAAAGGCAAAACAGCCCACAGAAGGTAACTGGTTTTACTGCGGCCTCATGTGGAAGCCATATGGCCTGTATCAAATAAGCAGAACGAGGGAAACCAAAAATATCTCACCAGTACTCCACATTCTTGTAATTCAATCAGCTTTAATCATCGAGGATGTTTTCGCTAACCTACAGGAAGGGTATTTGTTCTACTAACCTTGACTAGAGTGGTGACACTTTAAAGATGGCTCCCTCGAACAAAGAGAGATAAAAACGCAATTTATGGCAGAATGTTGAATCTCGAGGCAAATTCCCGCTACTGTAAATCGCAGCTTTTTCCCCAGGTCGGCCCCTCGCCCCTAGCAAGCCGTCCGTCTTCGCCGGTGTACCACACATCTTCCTGGGCTTCTCCTCCTCCCTGAGCAGTGTTCTTCAAGACAGTCCTCCTCTAAGGATCTGACCTATTGTCCTTACTGTATTAACTGGAAAAAATAAGCCCTTCAGTCCTAAGAAACAGACCAACACCCAATGCCACAAGGATTCTGTCAGCCCTGACACACTCCGCAGCACCCAAGTCCACCCTCTAGACCCCCCCGGCTTTCACAAGGACCTTCTCAGGGCTGGCGGCACGACCGCCCCGCAGCTGGCCACAGCCACGCAGTGAGAGCTCCGGTGCCTCCCGGGGCTCCTCGTCCAGCCGACGGCAGCTGGATTCACCGGCACCAGCAGCGCATCAGCCTCCACACGCAGCCCCTGCCCAGGGATCCTCCCGAGGAGGCTTGCTAGGAAGCACTGCCCACCACCAAAAGCGACAAGAGTGAAGGGGCGAAGGACCGTGAAGGCTTCTTCCAAGATCTGTGGGATGCTGGAAAGTGTTTGCTTACAGCACCTTTGGGAAGTAATGGATTCTGCCACATAATCCTGGGTGAGATTTTTAGCTTATATGTAAAACGGTGCTCTTACCTACCTCCCTTCACTGCAGCCTCCAGGTGAAAAACAACAGGGATTGGGCAAAGTGGACTTTAATTTTGGGAAACTCCTAGGCACACCACAGCAGCTGACTGCCTTCTGTGCCACAGCCCCGTCAAAACCCAGCCCCTCTGCTCAGGGGAGGACCTTGCTAAGGACATAAGGACAGTTCAGTAAGAACGGGTCCATCAAAGCATTAACTAAAAATTAGGTGAGGTTTGTAATTAATAGCCATGGTGATGGCTTACATGGTTTCTGTTATGTCACCACTGGAAACTCAATAGAGGCTACCATGTAAATCAGTCCAAAATTCAGGTAGCTTTCAGCGATGAGAAACCTGGCTGCCATTTAAACTGGCACTTCAGACGCAGGAGACTCTATCCATCTCCATTACAAATCCTCTGAGCTCATCCTAGCATTACTTTCCCACATCAAGCAAAAGAGTTAACATAAAAAGCCTGCCTAGCTTCAGACATTATCCAGATAAAGAGGAGAAAAGAGAAAATCCCTTGTATTACCTCTCTCAGCTCTTCCCAAACCGTCCCCAACACCTTTGTTCAGACCTGGCATTTATCTGAAGATGCTGCCTAGCCCTAATTAAATCTTCATGCGAACCAGCGCTACTTCCTGGCAGAGAACATGCATTCTTGGTGTGCTGATGGACCTACATAATTTTCTGCACTTCTCCCTTATGGTGAGTGTTAGGCCTTGCTTGAAAACATCACAACTGTGTTCAACACAATATGTTTAAACAGAAATACAAAATCATTCAGTTTCTTGTAAAGAATGAAGACAAACCTAAGTGAAAATTATATTCCACAAGCTCATTGAAAAGAGAAAGAAAACAACCCTGTAGAAACACTGGGCGAATAGCACCGTCTGAGAACAAGGCATGCTTTTGTTTTACTGTTGTCTCAGAAAGGGATAACTGGCAGCAATACGAGAAGCAGAAAAAAATCTTCCAAATAAAATCTGCAGCTCTCTTTTCCCCTCGAGGATGAAAAAAAAACCCAAAACAAAACCATTCCTAAAACACAGCTGAGTTTTGCATGAAGGGAAGGTGCGTTATAAGCCCCTCACACACACCCCTAACCTTATCTGATGAAAGCAGCTCCCTCGGCACTTTGCGTTCAAAGCCCCTGAGTTGGCAGCGACCTCTCATCCACAGAGAGCAAGAGCTCCAGAGTCAGAAAGGCAGAAGGCTAGAAAAGTAGATTTTACTGCTAACCCCCACACCCCCACAACAATTTTTAAGCCTTAAGGAAGCCCCTTTAAACCACTTACCGACACTAAAAGAATCTGACAATAAATAGACGGGAAATTATTGCCTTCCCTTAACGACGCTCACTGTAGAGGGCTTGTCCAAGCAGCAAAGCAGCCAGCTGTCCTGGCAGATGTGGTCAGATGGCCAAACACAACAAAGCAAATTCACTTTAAAATCATGTTTAACGTTCACTGTTCTCGCTATTATCCTCCAACTCTCAGCACTTCTCTCCCGAAGCAGAAGAAATAAACACCCCAGATGGCTAAGGAAAAACAGCAAGCTATACATATGCTCCATACACTCTGAAAAAGCAAGAGTCCAGCCATCTTCAAAGCACAGTGCGAGACTTAGCTGTTTAAGGGCCTTTTAGCTCTACAAGGAGGTGTCTCCGCACGTGTGGGTGAGGAGATGGTTATAAAAGAACTTCTGGGCCACGACCAGGGACCCTGCAACATTTTTCCACTTTAAATTCCAAAGACACAAGTCTTCCATCGCTCTGTAAATCAATATGGAACAGCTATAGACTGGACTGTACATTATACTACCTATAACCCCTAAATATGGCATTAGAATTACTGTTGCTTATGGATCAAATCAAGGAAACTAAGAGGATGGTTTCACTGGAGAGCGATGCCAGCACAAGTGCATTCAACTGACCATCGCCTTGGCTTCCGGGACCGTACACCACGATCCCTGAACTGCAGGAACCTGAGCCAGACTGTTGTTCTTTCTCACCGCAATGTGAGAGAGCTTGTATTTCTTCAGGGCCTAAGAGAAGAAAGCGGAAGGCCAGCTGTGGGCAAGTTACCAAACTCTGCAGAAGTGAAGCCCAGGCTTTCTCCCGTGGCAACCCAGACCAAAACCAGACTGGCCACAGTTGTGAGAGGGAGGGAATAGACGCAGCAACCCAGGAAGGCCTTGGCTAGCCGCACAGTGAAAGCGCACCCAAAATAACCTGCCTAATGTCACCAAAGCATGAGCAAAACCACAATTCAAGCTCTGGGCTAAAAACCGAGCATCTACTTGCATCTCTACACAACACCGCTCTCCCTGCATACGCACAGATCCAGAGAGGTTCCTACGCTGGGGGAAAAAGGTGGCTGGACGACAGGGTAACAAGGTGCTCACATGCAGGAAAAGGAGCTGGGGGATGCAACAACTTTCCTTCACTCCTCAACCATCCTGAAGTGGAGTTGCTCCCTCCTCATGGCAAACAGCCTGCCCAAAGCCATCACTGCCCCCACAGCCCTCTGCTGCCCACAGAGCCCGCCGCGACCCGCACCAACACCCAGAGCCCCCCCACTAAGGCCTACAGCACCCACTGACCGCGAAAGCCCACCACCACCTCCAGAGCCTCCACCAACCCCAAAATCCCTGCGCCCCAGAGGCCTTCCCATACCTCCAGAGCCCCTCACTAGCCCCCCCGGATGCCTCATCGCCTCCAGAGCCCCACCTTAACCCCTGGATATCCCCACACCACCCAAAGACCCAGAGCCCCCCCACTAAGGCCTACAGCACCCACTGACCGCGAAAGCCCACCACCACCTCCAGAGCCTCCACCAACCCCAAAATCCCTGCGCCCCAGAGGCCTTCCCATACCTCCAGAGCCCCTCACTAGCCCCCCCGGATGCCTCATCGCCTCCAGAGCCCCACCTTAACCCCTGGATATCCCCACACCACCCAAAGACCACACACACAC